TATTTCGACTAGTTATGCTGTACACAGACACAAAAACAAAACAAAAAAACACACATCATTGTAAAATCAATACATTCATCACTTCGTTCAGAATCTAAAATAATTCATTAGGGGTGTTAGAGTGGCACCAATTGTTGATACCATGAGGGCAGAATAGGTTGAAATGGATTGGTTTTGTTATAATCATAAGTTACTTAGAGCTAGTAAGAGTGGTTTATGGTTATGGAAATGAATGTAGAAGCAAAATTGGTGAGATGATTGAAGAAGAGTTAGAGGACTGAGCCATATGGAAATGTATACTCTATTCAGTTTAAGTTGACCCATTCGTCAGACGAAAACCGGTCATGATTGTGCATGTCTCGCAGCGCTAGTGTCTGATGTTGCCTTAGTATTACCTATTGTCTATGACACCGGTTGACTCCGGTCTCCGATAGTTAACAACAATCGGCGACCAATCACGGATCACCATCCCCTGACCAGAKAGGTCTGACCGTTTTGGCGGCTCAGTATGCATGCGCGGCGAGAGTGGGTCAACTTACACTGAATGGAGTATAGGATATGGATGGCTGACCCAATATAGTTAGCGGCGTCTAAAAARRARRAWWWTTTYYWWTTTTTWWAAAAAATATTTTTACAAATTATTAATTATGTGTTCAAAATTTAAATAAATAATGATTAATTTTCTAGCTGCAAATGAATGCGAATTATCATCTGATTGTTCACATATTTGCCAAAATAGTCCTGATGGTTACATATGTTTATGTCCTACAAACATGATTCTTCAAAATGATAATACCACATGTTCAGTTGTGAGCCCTTGTAGTACTTGGGGACGTTGTTCTCAAAAATGTGTAAAGCTTGGCCACTATGGACACAAATGTACTTGCAATGAAGGTTATCTACTGGCTACAGATCATTTTACTTGTAAAAGTATAGGTATATTTGCCATAAATTATTGTATTATAATTATTCAAAACAATTATTCAAATATATTAAGTAATTTTATTCTTACAGATACTAATATACCTCAAATAATATTTAGTAACAAACATGAAATACGAGGAATTGATCTTGTTACAAGGAATGTCAAATCGTTAATTTCTAGTTTGAAAAACACTGTTACATTAGATTTTTACCATGCTAAAGATGGAACTGATACGGTCTATTGGACTGATGTAATGGATGATAAAATATATAAAGGAAAAATAATTGGTGGATGTATGTTGAAAATTAAATATATGGTTGTTTACTAAATGTTGGAAATAAGTTAATAAATATATATTTTCTTTTTAGCATTGAGCGACATAGAAGTTGTAGTTCAAAATGGCTTAACTACAGCTGAAGGACTTGCTGTTGATTGGGTAGCTGGAAATATTTATTGGGTTGAGAGTAATTTAGATCAAATCGAAGTGGCTAAATTAAATGGAAGTTTTCGAAGGAGTTTAATTGCTGGGGACATGGAAAGTCCTAGGGCCATTGCATTAGATCCAAGATATGGCTATTTATTTTGGACTGATTGGGATTCGTCAGCACCACGAATTGAACGATGCAGTATGGCTGGTGAATTTCGTCAAACTATTGTATTCGTAAGCATGTATTCTGATGGAGAATGGCCAAATGGATTAACATTAGATTACGAATTAAATCGTATCTATTGGATTGATGCTAAGTAATATTCTTTATTTAATTAATAATATTAATAGTGAATGGTGAATTATTAAGAATTATTATTTTTTAGATCAGATACAATACATACGGTTGATTATAACGGTCATAATCATCATCTCGTATTGAAGGGTCATGAGCTTCTTTCTCATTCATTTGCTATTACTCTTTTTGAAAATGACGTGTATTGGACTGATTGGAGAAGTAATTCAGTGAATAAAGCTAATAAATGGACTGGTTTAAATGTAACTGTTGTGCAGCATACTGTTACACAACCATTTGATATAAAAATATTGCACCCTAGCCGACAACCAAAAGGTATAAATAATCAACTTAAAACTAAATTAATTTTATCAATTTAGCTTTTTTAAATTAAAAAATAAAAATTAAAAATTTTACTTTATTTTGATACAATTGATATATATATGTAATGTATATAAATGATTTGGTATAATGATAAATGAAGTGAAATTATATTGTACTGATAAATATGACTGCATAATATTAAATTAAAAATGTATTTTGTATCTAAAATTTTTTCAATTTTTGTATTTTA